TTCATTTAATATTTTATTCTCAACTCTTAAGTGATCAACATCGAAAAGCATTATCATTTTTGTAAACTAATTTCTGATTGGTAAATCCACCCAACCTACCCTCATAACCTGTCCTCTGATTGGCTGAACCTGATGGTCATTCACCAGTTCTCTTGCTCCGAGTCCACTGCAGTTGACCACAATGTCATACTCTCCAGCTAACTAACATAGGTAAAAACAAGACATAAACAAATCAATACAAAATTAATACTACTAGTAGTTGTATAACAGAGAGAAATAAATAGTATTATTTTACTGGTACTTTATCTGGGGTTGTGCAATATTGAAGCCATCCCTTTTTTAAAACCCTGACAGCCAAAGTTGCTACATTGCACATGTCTCCGTAGAGGTCGAAAATTGCAAAGCACATTGTATTTTGTAAATGGAGTTTTAATTTGTAATCATGTATTTCAGACCATCTGAACACAAGCAATTAGCAAACTGAAATAATATAATATAATATAATATAATATAATATAATATAATATAATATAATATAATATAATATAATATAATATTGTATGATCTAATAAAAGAAGTTTTAAATTATTAATACAAAACAACCAAAAAGTTGAACTTGTACACAAACCCGGGTTTAGAATAAAATTACAAATCAAAACCTTTACTTTTAAAATAACGGATACACATTAAAAATAATTTCAGACTTCATTAGTGCAATTAAAAATCATAAAATGCTAAATATACTAAGACCTCACCTCAGACAAGCTGTTCAGTTTTCTGTTGAATACTTTGACATCTGGGAAATCTTTTAACCTGGGAATAATTTTTTTTTAATTATCATCTTTACTCAGTATGGTAATAATATATCATTTTCAGCCATTTTAAACTGGTGGCTTTTCTCTTTACGAATTCTTTCCTTTTTTTAAATTTTGTAGCTCCACTATCAGAAATAGCCAATTCAAGGAAATTATACGGGGATCCGCCCTTCATTATAGCCAGGGTCTTAATGAAAAGTTGTCAATCTATCAAAATGGTGAAAAACCATAAATTTCATAGCAGCATGTGAAAAGGGTTGTACATGTACTGAACTAATAATAATCAGCCGAAACACCGTTATTATCAGTACTTTCAGTCAGGTAGCCTCATCTCCAGAGAAAACAGGCCTAGATAACACCACCTCAGAGCTCCATGGAAAATGCTTGCTAAAATGTTATTACTCACTTTCTCATTATCCAAGGCAAGTAATACTTGCTTTCAGCACCATATGTTGTGAAAAACCATCCATGTCTGAAATACACAATTTTTTTATTTTTATCAACTTCACTGTGTAAAATGTACAATGTATGTTGCAGAATAAAATTAATTTTAAATTTATTCAATGTATCTTTGTTTGTTTTGTTCCACGATTGTCATTTTATCATATGTTACAGACTAATGAACATTTGTAAGAAAGAAAATGGTTTGTTTTACTTAATTCACGTGTATGTATATGTATTGCACCGTGCTTACGCATGTAGTATACAGTATGTGTGCATGCTTCAGAAATGTATGTGCATGTGTGCATGTTTGTAAGGGATCATCTTACGTCTGTCCTTTAAACTGAGCTACTTCCTCCTCTGTCATGTGACGGAACCCAAGCACGATATCTTTCCAGTATGGATCCTGAAATAATAAAACTTTCCAATTTCTTAATCAAATTTAAAAGCGTTTTCATAACATGCGAGAAATGATTTGATACTTCTTTGTGTTGTACAAAAAAAAATGGTAGAACAGTATTTGTTATGGGTGAAAATGAAAGGTACTTCTATCTTTTATACTCAAATGTGATAAGCATTAACAATTTACAACAATAAAAAGTAGAAGACTAAATAGTACACAAATCTTCCAAAAAAGTACTGAATATTATACTAATAAGTTCTTCCATACCTCTACCCTTTCCTTGAAGGTGACATAACCAGATATCATCTGGACGCCTGCGTCAGACGTGTCTGCCATACGATGGACCTTCATCATATGGACAAATGTGTCCTTGCTCCATTTTCTAAAAAAAACATAAACATTTTTATATCTTAACTAATTTTAATAGTAATTGTAATTTTAGTAATAGTGATTTTAATTTTAATGATAATTTACTAGTACACAACATTTTCGATAAACTACTAGTGTTTTTTCTCACATCTAATCATATTTGTTTATTAACACAGATGCAGGTGTGTTAGCATGTGAACAACCAATACAAAACAATACCACTCACACTTGCAAACCCATGGGCGTATCCCCCAGCAAGTATGGCTGCCAGAACCCAGCAGATATGTCGCTGACGGTATAAGGGGAGAACTTGTCCGCTATGATGTGAACGGGGAGATCAGGATGGCGTTCCTTCAGGCACCATGCTGTAGACAGGCCAATTATGCCAGCCCCAACCACCGCCACTCTCTGGTTCTTGGGGGATGACGACATTGCTGAAAAAAAGAGGGAGTAACACATATTTAGGAAGACCTGCAGAATGTTATACAATATGGTACAAATTTAGTGCTGAGTTAATTTTATATTATTGCCTACTAGTAGTCAGTTTTTGGCACTACATGCTAAACAGGTTCGTATTTAAAGCTGCAGTATGGCTGAACACCGAGGTGAATGTAGTTAATGAGACTTTACAATAATTAACAGAAGATTTTTTTAAATATGGGCATTTTTACAATCCTGGGCACTTTTCAGATTTTCCCACATATTGCTAATTAACAAATTACATACATATGATCAAAGAATTCTTTTATCACTATGTTAGAGAATGGTGTAAGTGAAGATAAACACTGAAAATAGAAACCAAATATCACCACCGAGTCCAAAGTTATGCTAAAGCAAAGCCTGAAAAATGACCAAAAATTTTTCCCGTTTTAGTCATATGAAATAAAAAGCAATCTGAAATAAATTAAAACAGTGTTTGACATTGAATTTTTTTNCATGTGTGGTTTCCTTTTTTTGTGCATGTAACTAGTGTTGAAGCATCTACTTGCAGTCTGCTGAAGTATTGAGGTTAAAGGTTAAATGTGAATGACCTTGAAGCTGAGATTTCAGAAAATGACCATAAAGAAAATCTGTTGAAATCTGTTACTAAGGCTCCCCCATTTCTTCCTGTTAGAAAACAGAAAAAAAGAATTTGTTGAATAAACCACTTATCATCAAGACTTAAGTTTTTGTTCCTTCCGTTGAGATATTTCTCTGCATTTGCTGAAAATAAATGCAAAAAATTTCACAGTGTATTAAAATTTTATTTCTGATATAATACTAATTTTATATAAATTTGGAAAAAAAATTCGGGCTTAACATTTATATATTTTAAATCATCCCTTTAAAAGAGCTGACAGTGTAACAACAAGTATACATCTATCAGAAACATTAATTTTATGATTATATGGATTTTTCATATATATGAACAGATTGCATTGTAGCTGACATAATCAAATTTGCTTACAATTATTGCACCCAATCATTAATTAAATAAGTGTAAATTATTAAAGCTAAAACATAGAATTGTTTTATCACCATCTTACTGTTGCCTGGTGATTCTGACCATAACATTAGACCAGTCCGATACCCCCGTCACCACTGCATATGTATTTTTTTCACACAAGCATTACTAAAGTACCTTTTTTATTGCAAAATCTTATGACTGCATTATGGAAATTACACCACCTCCCACATAGTCTGTTGGTTACACCATATTCAGAACAACAGACAATATAACATTATATAAACCCACTTATAAAATACAAGTTTCTAATTTGAATCACTCTAAATTAATGGAGAAGCAAATAACACTGGCCACTGAATTTTAAAATTATGAACTGAAAAACCAGTTTTTAGATCAAAATTGTCTCAATAAATTTTGATAGGATATAACTTTAAAGTTGCTGATTAAGAGGAAATTGCTGAATCTACCATGAAAAGTATTAATTTCCACCTTCTATTGTGTGTTATGTGCCTTTTGTCTCATTATTCTTGAAAGGGAAGACAATTACTTCACAATTGGTTGGGCAATATGTTGTCTTAATGTACTTGTATAATATAAAAATATAATGAAATTGAAAAAATGTCCCTGTCTGATCATCCTGAGGCAGACAAATAATATGTGCCACCTTTAACCATTAAAAACTTCATTGCATTATCTGGAACTTTCATGTATTATTATTTTAATTATTATTATTATTATAAGTGCTATCACCATATTACATATGGCAGTATTATTATTATTATCAAATGCATAACAGTCACGCACTTTATTCAGACAAAAATTCACAAGGGGGGGAGAGGCTTTATCTGAAAAAAAAAAACAGACCCTTTTATTTGACCCAACTTATATAAAAATGGCACAGAACCTAGATCCAATATTGTCTTGGAGTGAAGTTTCTCCGGTCAAAAGTTTGGCTTGTTCACCCCCCCCCCCCCTCACCCCACCCCCAAAACTACAGGCCCAACACCTGTGTCTGTAAACTATAAACTAGCTATCCTATTCTTGTCAAAAATTCAATCAATGCATTACACTTTAATAAAAGCTGTGATATGCTTAAAGCTGTTTCCTTTTTAATATCTTAGCCTTCTACTAGCACTGTATACTATGGCTAATGTAGAAGGCTTTAACACACAAAACACTTCATACCATTCCCACTCCCCTTACCTGGCTTCCCTTGTTTTTTTTTCTCTTTCTTTTCTTTTTGGTGCTTATACTGTAGAAGCAAAGTATTTTGCTTTCTCTACCCCTGTGTATATCCAATGCCATATCCAAGCAGGGACATAGTGGATCACATGCCTTTCTCCATTAGATTCAGGAGTATCCCCTCCTCCCCTCCTCCCCTCCTCCCCCCAAAAAAAGGCAATTCAACATGCTAAGCAAGACAAAGCATTTTTTAATCCATGTGCCTTGCATATTACAGACAATGGTATGCTTACCTATCCACCCCCCCCCCGTCCTGAACCCCTATTGTCCCCCCCCCCCCGAATTCATATGCCACTTATTATAACTGGCAAGTTTATGTGTTTGACACCAAGTACTTCTCTGAAAATTAATCACATCTCACAGACTGCTAACATTGATCTAGGTCATCAAATCAATATTTTGACTTCAGCGCAAGTCGCCTCATTGCATCCTCAACCAACTGTGCCGCGTCCACTGCACATCCCCAGTGGAGTGTGACACCTGCACCTCCGTGTCCGTAATTATGCACAATCTGTAATTTAGAGAATATGAGACTAAATTCACCTGCAGTGTATAGATAAAACAAATATACAATGAGTGTATAACCTTTGCCAAGTCAATAGTAACACAAATAAATAAATCTTATTAAAAAAAGAGAGTTAAAAAAAGTTCATTTAAGTTTGTTGGACTCATAATTAACATGGTGTAAAAATCACTGTAGTGTCCACCCTGAGTTTGAATCTACTTATTATCCAAATAAAAAACTAACTTTTTCAGCTTATAGGCACCCAATAAGATGTTGAGTTCATCTCAGCCATTTTAGATAACACCTTCCTGAAGTTTGTGATTAAGGGTAAATTGCTGAAATTTTCATGATTTTTTTTCTTGCTTTGTTAGTAATAATGTATAACCTGTGCTTGGCTTTCAGTGCTCAGAAAGTCTGGTTTAAGCGCTAATTATATTATCACGTACCGTCAGTTTCCCTCTCCCAGAATTCACGTCCTCCAGCTCCAGTCTTACACTGGGCCTGCTGGGACGTAAACCAACAAAGTCATTCTCTATCTTTGCACCCTGAAGATCAAACAGAATTATGTTCAAGCTTGTTTTTTTTTTTTTTTTTTCTTCAAATCCAATACAACAAAAAAAAAATCTTTGTGCTGCAAACCACATTACAGTATAAACTTATTAGCTTAAAATTTAGTTTAAAATCTGATTTAAAACTTATTAATAAGTCATTGAGAATAAAATCACAGCTGTTCAATTAAAGATATATAATAATCATACAAACTAAGGTAAATTCCAAGAAAAAATCAGATTTCTGATCTAAATTGAAAAAAAAAAAAAAAAACACGCTCAAAAAAATTAAATTCCAATAGTTCTGATGATCTAACCAAGCAACAGATTTCATCAGCTGTATTATATTATATTATATTATATTATATTATATTATATTATATTATATTATATTATACACTCAAAGGGTGCATTCAGAAAAAAACTATCAAAACAATAATCATCCAACTCTGCAGGGACTCTTGTGGAATGCAAACAAATAAACTGGATGACACATCTCTTCCAAGTTAATCACCCCTTAGCTGCTTGAGGAGACAGTCAGAAGTTGATCTCTACTAACTATTCGTTCACCCACCCTGAGGCTAGGTATAAACTTGCAGACGCCTTCCCAGATGCGTTTCTTGTCTTCCTCACTAGGCTGAAGATCCCATGAGCTGACCTGGTGGGTACCGCCAACCACAACGCTGTCAACTCTACAATATGACCAACATGACAGATTGTGTTAAATGTAATGACTTTAAATTTGTTACTACATATAGGCTAATGAGGTGAAGTCATCATCATTATATCAATTGTCATCTTTGTCCTTGCTTTCTCTCCTTTATTTATAAATATAAACATACATTAAATAAAAAAGTAAGTTTTTTTTTTCAAATCTCCAAGTATATGGTCAATTATATCACATTAATTATTTATCATTGACAAGAAATATTTTTCTCACTTAAAGTATCTGATCAATTTGTAAGAACATGTACACTTGCACACCAGCACCACTGTTTTTCATTAGGGGCTTTTTACTGAAAATCCATAAAAAACTTTAAGAGTGACCCCTTATTACTAGACTAGGACTGTTTGTCTAAAACGTTAAAATTTCCCAGAGGTCTTACACTGGGAGCAGGTAGATGTCACTGAGGTCCTCGTTGTTGAAGAAATACTTGATCCATGGTGCTTTCACCTGAAAAATTAGTCAAATATTTTCTTTCCTGAAAGTTTGAAAGTATAAAATGCAAGGTAATCTTTCTTAAAAATTCTTAAATATCATTTTCCCTAAAGAGATTTATATGATGCTGTGATTTCTCAGTTCTGAAACTGTTAAACTTACAGTCAGACTGAAAATGTAAGCTACAATAAATTTCATTAAATACATTATTCTCAATAACCTAAAATATTGAGCTTGAAAATTTTAAAATGGGGAAAACAACGATCATAAAAATATTTTTCTTGAAGATTTAAATTTGGTGAACTGTCAACATTCTCATTTTTATAAACTAATTTCTGATTGGCTAACGCATCCAGCCTACCCTCATAACCTGTCCTCTGATTGGCTGAACCTGACGGTCATTCACCAGTTCTCTTGCTCCGAGTCCAGTGCAGTTGACCACAATGTCATACTCTCCGGCTAACTAACCCAGGTCAAAACAAGACATAAACAAAACGCCATAAAACTATACTACTAGTACCGGGGGTATAACAGAGATAAAAAAAAAATTGATTTTATCTGGGGCAGTACAATCTTAATGCCACTCTTTTTTAAAACCCTGACAGCCAAAGTTGCTGCATTGTCACAGAAAATTAAAAAATTGTGATGCACATTGTATTTTGTTAATGGAGTTTTAACTTATTATCATGCATTTAAGAACAGCTGAAAACAAGCAGAAATAGTAGGCAAAATAGAATTTATTTAGTAGTCAAAACAACACAGTACTATATATTTGACAATTCATGTAATAATTGGCAACCTGCAAATGACTTATGATAATAATATAATAAGTTATTATGTAATAATTTTTAGTTTATTAATATATAAAGCAACCAAAAGGTTGAAGTTGTACATAAACTGGATTACAATTTCATTACAAATAAAAACATTTACATAATAAAATAAAGCACATACAATAAAAATAACTTCAGACTACATGTATATCAGTGAAATTAAAAATCATAAAATGCTAAATACTGCATGCATAAGCAGTGTGCACCTCAGACAAGCTGTTCAGTTTTCTGTTGAATACTTTGACATCTGGGAAATCTTTCAACCTGGAAATAATTTTTAAAAAATATCATCTTTACTCAGTATGGTAATATATCACTTTCAGCCATTTTAAACTGGTGGCTTTTCTCTTTACGAATATTTTCCTTTTTTAATTTTGTAGCTCCACCAGCTGAAATAGCCAATTCAATGAAATTATAGGGGGCTCCATCCTACATTACAGCCAGGGTCTTAATGAAAAGTTGTCAATCAACCAAAATTGTGAAAAACCAGAAATTTCATAGCAGCATGTGAAAAGGTCTTACACTGAGCTAATAATAATCATACAACACACTGTTATCGACAGGAGTAAGAGTCAGGTGAACTCATCTCCAGTAAATACAGGCCTAGATAACACCACCTCAGAGCTCCTTGGAGAATGCTTGCTAAATTGTTATTACTCACTTTCTCATTATCCAAGGCAAGTAATATTTGCTCTCAGCACCATATGTTGTGAAAAACCATCCATGTCTGAAACACACGTTTCTTGATTTTTAGCAAATTCATTGTGTAAAATCCCTGATTACAATGTGTGTTAAAAAAAATGAAATTAATTTTTAATTTATTCACTGTATCTTGTAATATAAAAAAAAACAGTGGTTTGTTTGTTTTGTTCTACGATTGTCATTTTATAGTGACAAATATAGAGAATATAGAGAATATCTGTAAGAAAGAAAATGGTTTGTTTTACTTAATTCACGTGTTTGTATGTATTGCACAGTGCTTATGCATGTAGTATATGTGTGTGCAGTGTTAGAAATTAAGGCTGGACCATCTGCCCGGGGCTGACAACTTTCAGAACGGGCTGAGAAGTTTTCCCACCTGGCAAACATTCAGTCCAGCTACTTTTCAAGATGGCTGGACTTTCGGTCCAGCAACTTATTTTCCTAAGAGGCAAACACTGTGTGTGTGCATGCTTGAGTAATGTATGTGCATGTGTGCATGTTTGTATAGGGATCATCTTACGTCTGTCCTTCAAACTGAGCCACTTCCTCCTCTGTCATGTGACGGAACCCTAGCACGATATCTTTCCAGTATGGATCCTGAAATAATAAAACATCCCAATTTCTTAATCAAACTTTAAAATATTACTGTTACATGAGAGAAATGATTTGATACCTTTTTGTGTTGTGCAAAGAAAAAAAAAGGTAGAACAGTTTTTGTTATGGGTGAAAATGAAAGGTACTTCTATCTTTTATACTCAATGTGAAAAGCATAAATAATTTACAACAATATAGAGCAGAAGACTAAGTGTTGCACAAAATGACAAATCTCCCTCAAAAAGTACTGAATATAATACTATATATAATAAGTTCCTCACTACCTCTACCCTTTCCTTGAAGGTGACGTAACCAGATATCATCTGGACGCCGGCGTCAGACGTGTCTGCCATACGATGGACCTTCATCATATGGACAAAGGTGTCCTTGCTCCATTTTCTGAAAAACATTAACATTTTTATATTAAACTAATTTAAATAGTAATTTTAATTTTAGTAATAGTAATTTTAATTTTAATGATAATTTACTACAGTAGTACACAACATTTTCCATAAACTACTAGTGTTTTTTCTCACATCTAATCATATTTGTTTATTAACACAGATGCAGGTGTGTTAGCATGTGAACCACCAATACAAAACAATACCACTCACACTTGCAAACCCATGGGTGTATCCCCCAGCAAATATGGCTGCCAGAACCCAGCAGATATGTCGCTGACGGTATAAGGAGAGAACTTGTCGGCGATGATGTGAACGGGGAGATCAGGATGGCGTTCCTTCAGGCACCATGCTGTAGACAGGCCAATTATGCCAGCTCCAACTACCGCCACTCTCTGGGTCTTGGGGGATGACGACATTGCTGCAGAAAAGAGGAGGTTACATGTACAGTATTTAGGAAGACCTGCAGAATGTTATACAATATGGTACAAAGTGCTGAATTAATTTTATATTATTGCCTAATCAGTTTTTGGCACTACATGCTAAACAGGTTAGTATTTAAAGCTGCAGTATGGCCGAACACCGAGGTGAATGTAGTTAATGAGACTTTATAATAATTAAGAGAAGATTTTTTTAAATATCAAAACATCATAAAATACAGTACATACTCAGTACACTGTACCTGTAGCAGTGGCTACAAGAGCAACGACTTTCTAGTTAAAATTTTGTAAAGACTATACATTGTTCACGTCCTAGGTATAAGTACGAATACTATTAGTATTCTTATCTATATACATGTACATTGTACTAAATGTACTAGTAGCTTGTACTACTGCGCTAGCTACAGTGCACTGAGTAGTGCTTTACAGCTGTACAATAATGAGCTGCAGTACTTAACGAGGCTGTAGTTCCCATTTTTCAGTCCATTCCAGATATTTCTATCCGATTTAAAAGAAACAAAACATGCATCGCTTACCTTTTTCTAGGTAGTTCAAATGCGTTCTTGGTACTTAGAAACGTCATTGAATTAAAAACTGCATAACACGGTGGGAAAGTTACAGCGTAAGGGGAATTCCCTCTGCCAAGACAAGCCGCGATTTCCGGTAGTGTATCTCAACTTGAAAACCATCAAATGGCAAATCAACTTCAGCAAAATTATTACTGAACATGTACATTTTGAAACCCATATGCCTTTAAATTGTTTCTACGTGGAATGAAAAATTGCCTTTTCATCATAGTGCTACGCACAAGCTTGCGCATGCTCTTTCGTTCTGTACGTGTCTATTTATAGAGACTCGGGAAATTTATGCCACAAAGTTTCAAATGCTTTGCCTATGGAAATTTCCACATCATTTAAAGGGAAGCAACAAATCGATAAGGGAAGAATTACACTAAGTAAGATAGTAGCAGTAAATTATAAGGTACACAGGGTAAGTCACTCTCTCTCTCTCTCTCTCTCTCTCTCTCTCTCTCTCTCTGACACACACACACGCTTGGCTGTCACCTTGATTGGTTAGAAAACAATCGTCGTATTTAATCGCTATGATTTAGAAACTGGGTGTATAAACTTTAAAACCACAAAAGAGACCTCAGAGTGCCATATTAGTCTACCATAAAGCAAAATAAAAAAAATCAAAATCGGTTAAAATATCCAAAACGAGTGTGGTTAAATCCCCGTACGCTCCCATTATAAATAAAAAAAGTCCCTTTTGTAATGGCAGACAGGTATGGTGGCTTTGCGTGGTTTTTAAGTTTGTTTTTAATCACGTAGCGATTTAATGAGAATCGTTTTTTAACCAATCAAGGTGACAGCCGAGCGTGCTAGCTTTTCTCGCACGCACACTGATTTTAATTCACACAAGAAAAAAATTAAAACGATCAAAATCAGTTATTTCTAAACAAATTTCGTAAAGTCGCAATGGACTCAATTCAATTTATTTTAGACAAATTATTGTTTTAGAAATAAGAATTAATTTCGCAATTATAATCATTGAGAACTTAGAATTAATGTAACGGTAGCCTAGATATATACATTGTATATAGGCCCTATGTTGGTAGGCCTATATAAGAGGTGAAAAGAATATTCAACGATCGTCACTGCATTTTTTCTTACAAACATTCCTCGTGATAAACTGATGAGTAACCAGCTTAACTATTTACATGTATGAAAGTTGGGTATTTTGTGAGAGATCAGTCATTTTTCTGTTGTGTCGAGATTTAGCTATTTGATGCTTGAAAACCCCCCGTTATTAAAATGAAGACGGTACAAGTGAACTGTTAATAAGTAACCCGAAAGGTTAAATGAAATTTATTATATTGTCAAGGATATTAGAAATTGAGTGTTTTTATTTTAACTAAATGTTTCAGTTTACGTACTTCGATAAAATGGTACGTTTACGTATTATTCATTTATCTATTTATTTATTCATTTATTTATTAAGAGCAAAATGTGGTCAGATGTGGCGAGATAAATGTTTTTACTGCTGAGTCATGCAGATAATAGTTTTAATACCTGTATTACGCAGCTACTTTTAGGCACTATCGGGCTACATTGTAATAACTGTAAAGGCCGGATATACATTGTACTACTGGTAGAGCTTAACGTACGTGTACAGGCTGTAAAGTAGTACAATGTATTGAACAAACGTCTGGATAATAATAGCAACGGGGCCCGTTTATTTGTCACTTACTACCGGTATATAATAAAAGACCCAGAGAGAAAAAAGGAATATAGCTTTCTGACCTTGCCGTATTGAAATAACCTTCAGCCGAGAAGACGATAAGTGTCGTTTACACTGTTTGGCTTTTTTTGAAAAGAATTTCAGATAATGACAGGGTAAAGCTACCCCTGGTATTTACGGAGTAGGAGTTATGACCTAACAGCTGTTCTCATATTTATGGGCATGAGAATATAGGTTTATATTGGTCTCATTGCTGATCTCATTGGTGGACATCAGAATAAAGGTTTATATTGATCTCATTATATGTACACTGCATTGTGTATGTCAAGCCTTAAACCGGTTTATTTTTATTTTTATTTGGGGGGGGGGGGGTACTTGTGTACAAAATAAAACATACGTATGGATCAGATTTCATACAAATAAAGCAGTTCAAAACTACTGAGCTATTATTTAAAATGAAAAATATCACAACGCTTAATAAATAAAATGTATGAACTCTTAAATGAAGGGATATTGTCAGTTAAATGCATAATCAACAGAACCAGATAAAAGAGTTATAACCTTCACGCAAGAGGTTTTTAATTTTAAGATAAAACCCCCTTTTCAATGGATGTGTGTTTACCGGTTTCCTACACCTTTCTTTCTTCATTATCCATTCATTAATTATTACCTCTTGCAGCTTTTTCTTTGTGTTTGTGTGTGAGTCTTTAGCATTCATTCAAGAAAACCCAATTATTTATTTATTCATTCAGACGATCCACAGTACTAGTATATTACGCCACATATCACTTAATCTGTTGTATAATAACAGTAGTTGTTTTACTTCCAGAATGCAAGGTCACATTACCTATCCTAGGGTCAGGCTCTTTTGATCGCATGCTGACCCTGAGAAATGACCAAATACTTCGCAAATGAACAGAAAAGTGAAACCTTTAAGGCTAACTAACGCAGCACGAGAGATCGAGTGCATTTGCACCACCCACTTTTGATAAATAGGAGTCACATTTGAGTTGTAATTACAAGCCCGCAGCTTAGAAAACGCTGATAACATTTGGACTAGAATATAATAAAGAACATCATTTTGATTGGTGTGGTCGAGTTTTCAAGAAACCAATAAAATTTCAGAATATTTCGCGTTGTGGATGATGGTTGTCAGTCTTTTTGACAGTTTGGTAGATGCTTTGCACGAACCGATGTCCCGGGATGTAATTTTGCTCAAACCCCCTTTCTTCATTCCCATTTTAGCTGTGCTTGTCGTTTGTTCTGTGACTGCGTTCATTCAAAGCGGTTTCCGTTTCATTTCACCATCATCTGTTGACCTTGAATACAGAGATATTGAACAAATACCGCAGGATGTTCTTAACAACAGGAGACTGAGGACATTAAATCTCGCTAGGAACAAACTGACAAATGTACCAAAATGTTTGTCACAGACTTTGGAAAGGATGCATCTTGGTTGGAATAATCTGAATGAGTTCCCGGAAGATCTTCTCCAATGTCATCAGCTCAATTGGCTGCACATCGCCGTAAACCCCATACGAACTATTCCTGAAGAAATCGGCACCTTAACCAAGCTAACTGTGCTCTGCGTATGCAGCTGTGAGCTTAGAAAAATTCCGTCGGCCATCTTCAAATTACAAAAACTTTTGTACTTAGATATTAGTCATAACTGCCTAAAGGAATTCCCCAAAGGCGTTTTGAAATTAGCAAGTTTAGAAAGACTCGATATTAATGACAATAAAATCATCAAAATTCCAGCAGAAATTGAGAAGCTGGTTAATTTGAAAGTGCTGCGTATTCACAAGAACAAGTTAACAAAACCCCTGCCACAAAATCTCGCAAAACTCGTTTCGTTGCTGGAACTTAACGTATCCAACTGTAATCTAGCCAACATTCCAGAGTTCATTCCAGAAAACCTTTCCAATTTAACAACCCTCGACATTCGTTACAACCGAATTGTAAAATTACCCTTGAACTTTCACAAACTTACAAAATTAAAGTGTTTTGTATTCGTCAAGAATCCCCTTAAGAATCCACCAATTGAAGTTTGTGCCATGGGCCTCAAAGCCATACGCTTGTATCAGGAAGATGCCGAGAAATTTAGCTCCGTCCACGTTACGAGGCAACAGGTTATGGTCGTGGGGGAAAAATCCGTGGGGAAAACCAGCCTCTGTCGGACGCTTAAGGCAAGGAAACCGGAGCTCGCCAGTAGAGACGACAGAACGATCGTTTTGGAGGAGACAGTGCTCCAAGAACTGGAGGCTGGAGTTGAGCTACGGTTCACCGACTTTGGAGGGCAACGTCTCTACAAGGTACTGCACCCCATCTTCTTGAGGATAAACGCTTTGGTGCTGGTCCTTTTTAACTTAGAACTGTACGAGACCAACTGCGAGCATTATTTCAAAAGTGTGGGTTTCTGGCTGCGCAAAATACAAGCAAAAACCCCCGGTGTCACAATAATTCCAGTCGGTACCAAAGGAGACACTGTCACCAAGAAAAAGGCGAAGGCAAAGACGAAACACGTGTTCGACCACGCTAAGAATTATGTCAAAATCTACCGGAAAAACCTTGAGAAAAGACTAGAGGAGGAGAGAAAGAAACTCCAAACAATTGTGCAAACAGATCCATCTGGCACCAGGGGCGGGAGTGAACTGCTAGCGAATATTAAAAAGGGAATCGAGAGACTGGAGAGAATGCAAGAAAGTATTCTGAATGTGCAAAAACCTGTCATCATCAGTTCGAAAGAGTTCCATGGTGTTGACGAATTGAAGAAAAGGATCCTTCAAGTGGCCGAGACGAAGTCATGCGCTTTGCCAGAAAATTGGTACCAGTTTGCCAAACTTATCGCGGAAAGGGCCAAAGAGGATGATGCCATGTACATGCCGTACGCAGAAGCAAAGGAACTTTGGGACCAAGCCACCCCGTCCAAAAAGTCGGCACCGACCATGCTGGAGTCCATAAAAGTTCTCCTGACATCTCCAATGCATGGGAAATTCAACGAAGAAGATTGCGAGAAGTTCGAGACCGTCCTCACTTTTCTGCATAGGTGGGGCGCCATCTTGTGGTATGTTTCCCCGCGTCTCAAGGATTACATCTTTCACAATCCGAAAAAGCTGACCAATTTTTTCAAAGCCGTGTTTGACCACGACATGGAGACGACCCTAGCAGCCAAGAGACGAAGAAGGGGGTTTCCAGAATACACAGACGTGAAATTCGAGGAAGAGATGTCTTGGTTCAAGAAAAAGGGCCTCCTGACCAAGAAACTTCTCCAGGGCATCCTGGCGGCGGATTTCCAAGGTGTCGACCTCGATACAATGTTTTCCCTCCTCCAGCATTTTGACTTGTGCTACGAGGTCCAGTGCAAGGAACAGCCGACCCTTTATTTCCCATGGTTCCTGTTTCAAAGTCTCCCTGATGACGTCCAGCAACTATGGCCTAAGACTATGGAATCAGGCGTGCTGCAGCTTACCGTTGAGTTCCACTTCATCACGGTTGTCCCGCCGAGCCTCTTCGAGAGGATTCAGGTGATTCGAAAAGTTGTTAGTCCTTGATATTTAAGCATGTGTCATAGACATGTTATGCCTGTTAATTGTCATTGTGACATGTACATGTTCATCATTTGATGCTCAAGTTTTAACATTTTTGAAACTTACACGAGGTTTCTTTATATTTGAAACTTTTAAATACAGCATTTTATATAAAACCTCTACTTATAAATATGTGTTTTTAATTGAAAGGTACGTCCCTTTCAAAAGTTAGCCTTATCAAGATATTTTGAAAGATTTTTGTATTTTTAATTTTGTGATATGTTCACTTTATAATTAGTGATACTTTTAAGTTACAATTCTCTAAATTAAATGGTAAAAAAATATAATTCTAGGTCCTCACACATTCCAAGGGACCGTACAAGCAGTTACCAAGACGAGACTGGAGCGAAGGTTTTTACATGAGCCTTGGCGATATTAAGGTATAGTGTCGCCACATATATGCAGAATCATAAGTCAACAAATGTTTAGCTCAAAGCGACCTCTGACGGAAGGGTGCGGTACTGCACACATAAGTTTAATCCAGCAGATTTGTGGATAATATTTTCCCATGAAACCGTAACTGATTTATTTTTTTTTTTTATTCTGTTTTTTAAATATTATTGAAAGTGCATCAATGTTTTATTAACTTAGCAAAAATATGGGGAAAATCCATTGAAATGTGTAACGAGCATCAAGCTATTCATTTTTACCTTTTTAACGTTTATTTACCATCACCATTCTATTTCCATGTAATTTATCATCATTGAAGAGCACATTATGTGATATTAATATTTACATTGAATTTGTATCACATTTCAACAGTTAAATACCTTTCCTCATTGGCCATCACAGGTGTTCGTGGAACGGTTTCAGTACCACAACGACGGCGTTCTCCAGGTCTCCGTGAGAGGCAAAGATTTGGGAAAGCTCTGGGAGGAACTCAAGACCATGGTGACCACGATGCAAGGGTTGCTTGACCAGTGTCCGGGGGAGGCGTGTAACATCTACTACATCTGTCCCGGGTGTATCAGGTCTCAGATCGAGGGCTCTCGGGCCAAGAAGGAGGAGTGGAACTGGGTGTGCACTAACAGACCTGTAAGTTTTGGTTCGCAAAGTCGACGGTTCGCGGGTATCCGGTGTGACAGGAATGGTAATCCGCTAGGTTCAGTTGTCCGTTGTCATCACTCTGTACAGGTGACATTCGTCCCATATACTAACCTCGATACAACGACTTATCCTCATGTGGGACCCCGGACTTCCATCTCTAGGACTACCATTCTTGTCACACCGGTCTCCAGCAGGCAATTTTATCATTTGTGTTATGTACACGAATTTACTATAAAAATTTTCTTTTTTTCCAATTAACCTCACTCGCTATTTTTGATCATAGGCGGCGCTCGAAAACAGGAGTTAAAAATTTAGGAAAGGACTTAATAAAATATGTTATGCCCTCAAAGTTACAAATAAGTTCCTCCAACAAAAATCGTAACTTGGAGCTATTACCACTCCAATACTTAAGTGTCTAATAAGACGCCTTTATTACAAAGAAGCTACAGGTAGTATATAGTGCGCTGCAGTGTATTAAAGGATAGGGCCAGTTTTTCTCGTTTACAGTCAATTACAAACTTCTCTTTACTTTGATAAAAAACTGTTTGCGCCCACGAAACATCGATATGGGCGAAATGAGCTCTGATGTCTTTGAAGATAACACCTGATGCTCATTTATAAAGGAGAGAGAGAGAGAGAGAGAGAGAGGGTTACCTTACATCATCTGACGTTTTCCTAACAGGATGATGACGTTGCTGTGTCGGGACGCCTTGTTGCTGGGGCGACATCAGTTCCCTCTATCCCCTGTTACGATAACGCCCCTGTGGATGAGACGGTTCCAGCGTGTCTTCAGTATCCAGAGATGTATAATGCAGGTAATGGTGCACGTGCACGCACAAGCATACAACATGTACTTTCATGCCTTCTAGTTAAATTTTTAAAAAGTGGATTAAAACATATCAGCATGTTTTTGAGCCTTGGGTGTATTCCAACGAAGTCATGTGCCTGTTACTTTGGTTAATTTTTTGGGTTTTGTATATGTAGATTTTTTTTTGTCATGGAAGTACGTTCTGAGCACGCTCGGCTGTCACCTTGATTGGATAGTAAACGGTTGTCGTAAAATCGCTAAATGATATTAAAACCCGGTGCATAAACTTGAAAACCACCTAGGACATCCTTAGACTGCCACATTAATCCAACACAATGCAAAAATAAACTATAACAAGTGGTTCAAACCGAATGTCGTAAAGTCCCCATATACCTCCATAGAGACAATAAAATAGAGTCCTCTGATGTTTATATCAGTCCTCTCTACAATCCAATTCAGGAAATGACGTAACCGCAGAGGTTGCATTGTCCAATGGCATGGCTTCTTTTTCGTAATGGTAGGTTAGAGTGGACTGATATAAACATCAGAGGTGGAATTTGGATATACGGTTTGATTGTGCGTATGCCATGCACGGAAGTTAAAAACGAGCGACGGGATGATGTAGCCTGCAGTATTTGCGGTAAGCGTGCCAAGTTTTAGGCCGCTCCGATGCCCGGCAGTATTTTATTTCGATTATTATGTTTAAGTTGGTCGACTTTTGTTTCACAAGCTGACTCTATTTTATTGTCTCTATGGAGGTATATGGGGACTTTACGACATTCGGTTTGAAGGCTTTAACCACTTGTTATAGTTTATTTTTGCATTGTGTTGGATTAATGTGGCAGTCTAAGGTTGTCCTAGGTGGTTTTCAAGTTTATGAACCCGGTTTTAATATCATTTAGCGATTTTACGACAATCGTTTACTATCCAATCAAGGTGACAGCCGAGCGTGGTTCTGAGTCGTATTAATGCATCACACTTTCTTTATTAATGAAAAAATACTTGGCAATTCCTTATCTCTATTTACTTATCAGAATATTTTCTGCTTATTTTAGTTTATTCTGATTTCTACTAATTTACTTCTAGACATGTATGGAGTCGTACGCGATTACTTGTCTAGCTCGCAGCTAAAACAAGAATCCTCAAATGGTGAGTGTCGACAAATTAAATGAAAAATGTATTGTACAAATAAATATTATATAAAAATTCACTTTTATCATGTAACTTAATAAGGATGTTTTATTTCGTCTTTTCACATTTTCAACAGGGCTGATACATGTGTTATGTAAATTTTTTAAAAAAATATTTGTATTCATTTATTCATTTAGTGAGTAAGTTAGTTGGCGTATGATAGCACCACCAACAGACGTGAACCAAAATAAATTTTATTCAGAGAAAAATATCATCGTTTCAGAGTGTACAAAACAAGACGAGGCAAACGATCAGGAATCTTCACTGGATCCGTCAAGTCACCATCACCACCATTACCATCACCACCACCATCACTACAATACAACATACTGCACGCACAACAACATTAACAACTGTCAGTATGTGCAGGTGGGGAATGGGAACATCATGGAGAGAGTTCCCGAGTACCTGGCTGAGCCGCCGAGTGATGTTGAACACTGGGACCTCGATACCGACCTTAGGTGACCAATTTGAAAAGAAAAATAGGGGTAAAATGAAGAATAACTTGGGTTGAAACTGCATTGATGCTGATGAAGAAGAGTAGAAATTACGGACAAAATCTGATGTCTCAGATTATCAACTGCCATAGTTATTGACCAGTCTGCAATATTTGAAATCTCTAGTTCATCGCGTTATTGATGATTTCGTAACAAGTATGTTCAGGCCTTATACTCATTGTGTGTCTTTGATATTTATTAAAGGTGAATTAAATGTTCACAGTCCTCCACGTACGGTCTTTAATAGCAAGGTGGTGGAAAGGGTCGAGACAATATATTAGAATATAAATTAGGTTTAGACGACCCATCTACAAACTCGTCTCAGTTTTTAATGTAAGGTTTATAAATGTACCCTGTAATGGTGCTATTTCATCTCATCCACCCACCCTCAAACACACTGTCAAAAATTGTACAAGTATCTCAGGTGTGGAGATAGACCATGTGACATTACGAAGAAAGCTCAGTTTTAAGGTAATGCAATGTGTAACTCAATCCCAGGAGTTGTACATAAATGTATATCCCCTTTGCTCAGCCAAAAGTAACTCATGGCAGTCGCTCTGGCTGTCACAGGTTAGGGTTAGGGTCATTGGCGTCCGCAGAAAATTTTCCAGGGGGGTCAAAGTCATTGAAGGGAGAATAATGATTGTCTGGGTACCCGCTTTAAAATGCAGTTACAAAATTCCAGGGGGGGGGTCAAGTGACCCCTTCCTTCCTTCCCCCCCCCCCCCCCCGCGGACGCCCATGGTTAGGGTTATATTATCACCACACCCTGTTCCTCTTTTACTGTAGTAGAGAGTGGTGAGGCTTCACTTATGATACGTTTGTTTTTTTTTTTTTTCAAAATATGATGACCGCAGCCTTCTTTCTCAAGTGCAATTTGTAATATAGGCGTGTGGGGCCCATTTTCATCGTCCTGTAATATGACCGTCCCCAAATCAGGAACGTTTGCCGGCAAGCTGCGTCATTGGGGTAAATTCATTCCATTTTCTTTCTAAATTCTGTTGTTTTTATACATAGATTCATTCGCGGAAATGCTGCAGTAGGGTAAATATTTATTTTTTCAGAATAATTCATATACAAGTATGTTAGCTGACGAAGAAGGCTGAAAATTCATTTAACTTAATTGCTTACAGATATGTATCATTATGTATTTAAAGCTGGTAGGCTTCTACTTTAAAATTATTTAAATAGCACATGACATTTGATTGTGGAGTTCCTCTGAAGAATTTTTCTAAAGAATTGTTATTTTTGTCAGTTATGTTTTTGCTTTAACCAAAGGTAAAAAGCCGTATGTATGTGTCTGTGTGTGCATTCTAATAAACAAATCGGCATTGTTGATGCGTCCACATTTACCGACTGACATAAAAGAATACTGCTATTTATATTTATCAGTTTTATTTATCACAATATTGTTGTTACTT